CTTCCTTCCTCCCTCCCTCCCTCCCTCCCTCCCTCCCTCCCTCCCATATACAACTCACTTTCTACATACAGGCTCCCACTGATTTACATCATATAAAATCCTTAAATGTAAATCATTCACCCAATTATTAGAGCATTCAGCTCTGCTCTAACAGTCAGTAAAATTGAATTGCTTTAACTCTTCTGCCACTTTTCTCTGCTTATGCTTTCAACAATATAATGAAACACTAGCATCTTGCAGGATTTTGCCTTCATAAAAACTTTAATCAAAAATGGATCCAAGAGATCACTCTGTTAAAAAAAAAAATTACTGTCCTGACACAAAGGTACATCTACAAGTCCTAGTATGAGATCATTCACAAAATGTGAAAATTAAGATACCAAGCCGCTATGCTCAGAAACCAGTACCCAAAACAAATCTATCTAACGGGACAATGACCAAGGACTCACCCGTTCCAATTCCACTGACTACAGTGCCATCAATAAGACCTGTAGTAACAACATTATTGGTTGGTGCATTGTGAGGTGCCAAACTAGGTAAGAACAGGCAACTGTGAAAAAGAAATTAATGAATTAGGAATAGTTTCTAGTTTAAAACAGCTGTTTTAAACATCCTGAACATTAAATGAAACCAGCAATATCTACAGTAAATGAGACCAAAAGCTACCTCTTTTGCAGTTATTTATATCTGGGCCTAAAACTGATGACAGTAATATAAGTCATAAAAGTCAGCCATGTATCATAGTAAGTTCTACATCACTTAGGCTTCTGACTGCCAACTATAGAAATGTTGATGATCCTATTTAGAGTAAGACAGAAATGCCCTTTGACCTTCAGCTTAAGATGGGAATTGCATACATGGGAATGTCAGCACATATGGACTGTTTGAAAAACAGACCCCCCCCCCACACACACATGCACAAATCTCCAAAGGAGACCATCGATATATTATAAGTAGAAATTAATATCACAGAAGCCCTCTCTGAAGCATAAACACGGTGAAGAACAGGCATAAATATCATACTGTAACTCTCCTAGATGTCACTGCAACAGCAGTGATGGACAACCTGCTTTTTCAAGGCCGCACACAGACCCAAAGAATCCCTTTTCTGTGGCCCCAGGGGTTTTCTCCACCACAATTGCTCAAAATTGCCAATGTGGCTTTCTAGCATTTTGAAGGGGGAAACAGTAGAAACTTTACTGTAAACCCTTAAATAAAACTGTCACATTTTAAAACTGACAAAAAACACCCATCCTCTCAGCTGCACCCACATGCATGATGTGGCCTGTTCATTTTGCATCACTGTTCCATTTATTGTGCCCAAAATATGTTTCCCCGCCTCCCATAAATATTTCCAAATGTCAGGAGACATTTGCCATTTGTTTTCCACCTGTTTGCTTGACGGCACATCTGTCTCCATACTGGAAAATGAAGTGCATGCTGGTGCTGTTTGAATAAAACCATAATTAACAAACCATGGGAATCATCAATCAGATACAGCTATGCCATTCAAAATCACAGTGTGTGTGTATTGGAGGGAAGATGCATGCAAAAAGATGGCAAAATCAGAGATTGTGGATCTACATCACAATTCTGATCTTTAATGACTGAGCTACAATTGCATCAAAAGATCCTACCTCTTTTTTTTCTAAGGCAGGAATAAGAATATTTTAAGGAGATAATTCCAATATTTCAGTAAGTGAAATACAAAATGTCATAATCACACATTATACCATTAGCTTTTACAGATTAAACCTCTTTACAGACCAGTACGTTAAAAATCTAAGCAATTTACATAAACCAATAATGAAATATACTGAGCTTTAACATGATTTACTGAGTGCCTTTCTAAACTTGGACAACTGGATATAAGGGCTACTCTTATTAGCAAAAGTGTTCTAACACATAAAAAGTAAAGCTCTGTAGGGTGGTCTGTATTTAAAATTTGTTACAGAAGAATGTGTAACATCAAAGGCAGCCTTCTATGTCACATTTTATGGTTGTAAAACCAAAACAATCCCCTTAAACATCCATGAAGAACAATACATTAAGATAAAAGATTTTGCAAGACCTTACCCAAACCCTTCAAGAGAAGTGTCAAATTCAATAAATGCAGGCGTAACTGATGATCCATGAAGTCTAATATCATGTGGGGTTGTCATAGAAACCAAACACTTTACTCGTGTCAGAGGCACCGTGCTTCCTTCTGCTGGTTTCAAAAGGCTCTTACTTATCCTGTAGTGGGTGTCTTCATGTAAGCTGAACACATAGTCAGTACCAAGACCTTCCATTGATGTCACCATACTATCTATAGTAGAAATTAAGAAAAAGGTGTAAAAAAATAGCTGTACTAATAACAAATGTGAAAAAGGAGGAGGAGGAAGTAACGGAAAAAAGGACAAATATATTTTGTTGCTTGATATTAAGTCCCACATATTGTGATCCACACATTTTACGTGGATGAGCCACCAGCAATGGACTGGCTGGTTGTACAAATGATCGAACCAATAACTGTTTATAAAATCACTCCTCAAAATGGTAATGGAATTTCCATTTATAAAAATCAAGATTATCAATAATAGACCAAAGAATCGTAATGCAACTGTTGCACGCCGCCCAGAGTCACCTTGTGGGAGATGGGTGGCTATATAAATATGATAAATAAATGAAATAATTGAAAGCATTTAAAATTTAACCAATGAAATTCCAATGAAATCATTAACTCAAACAGATTCAAATTCTGCTATGCCAGTTTAACTGAATTGTGAATTAAATGTTTTTATTTTTGTTCTAGTTAATCACCACATTCCCAGAGAAAAACTATCTATGTGGTCTCTAAGAGACAATACCAGCTTGATGGCATATAATCAATCAGTCATTGCACATCTTAATGATTTTATATAGTATACAGTAAAATGAAAAGGAAACATAAATAGCATCCAAATGGATTTTAATTTCCAGAAGAATATCTACCTAAATCCAGTTTACCCACATTATGCCTAAGATAATTTTTTTTCTACTCAGCCCTGAATTGAAATAGAGAATTTTAAATAAACCGCAGCTGTTCAAGATAATGGATGTAGTGTAGCCGTAATATAGTCTGTCCTTTAATCACAATCAAGGTATGCGGTTCATATTATGGTAGATAAGAGCCAAATCATGGGATATACTGTTATTATCCGGGCTTTATTCTATCTATGATTTGAAATCAGATTTTGAAGATGGTTTCAGATCTTAAATTATAGAGTTGCTGCCAAAAGTTAATACTTAGGCCTGGCAAAGGAAATCCCTAGAAAGGCCTAAAAGAGGGAAATCACATTGTAATATTGTGGGTTACTTCTGGTTACTTAACCAAGGTTGAGCAATTGTCAGCATTGTATCTCACTCAACTTTTGCTATTACCTCTCCCAAAAGGCCTCTAAAATGGTATTATCAAATCTCACTAGTACTCATTCTAAAATCTGGTCTTAGATTTTAGAATCGCTAGATTTTAAGAACTGCTAGAAGAACCTCAGATGCATTTTTAATACTTGAATGCTTACTTCTCATCTCTGGCTCATAACTGAGTGAGCTTGGTTTATGTACACGATACCGTTTCAACAGTTTTTTGTCCCAGGCTCCACAATTCAGAGGATTTCCCAAACGTAAAAATTCCCTAAAGAAAAGTGGAGGGGAAAATAAGAGAAGCTTCAAATTATTCTGTATTCCCTTTAACTTGATTAATCTAAAGGCTTTCATTTGAACTCTTTAATGAAATAAAAAAACTGAAACTAATCGAGCTAAAACACATTTAAGTGTCAAGTCTATATTTTATGTAAATACAACAGTTAAAATTATTTTTCTATTGTTATTTTACTTGTTTATAAAATTTCTAGCATGCTTTTTGTCATTGAATAGAATACAAATCATGTAATCAGAAACAGAAAATTTGCAGTAATCTACATATATTTCACCAGCATCCATGTGATTTCTTGACCTTATTATATAGTTTTAGGAAATATGCCAAGTGGAGAAGTGAAGACATTAAGGCTATCATCAGCTGGTTCCGAATAATAATCTGAACTGAACCAAACTTTCTAACTTACCGCAGCACCATTGGTTCTAATGCCTGAGAAGCCAACCTTTCAAACATCCTTTGGAGAGGAGGATGCAAAGAATGGTCCTCATCAGTAAGAGCAGCGCTGCATTTCTGCAAAAGTCGAGCATGAAGCCCAGCTTCACACATAACTTGTTGATTTCTTTCTGTATGTACTAGAGACTGCAAGATATTGGCCACCGCAAGCTGGAGATCTAGTGCATGCTATAAACACATAAAGCAAAAACAAATACTGCATATTTTATTATACTATACATGTGCTCAAATACTGCATATTTTATTATACTATACATTCTTACAAGAACAATAGATATGTATCAGAAATGGCAAGTTTATGCTGGTTACTAGCAGGGACATTAGGTCTGAGTAAAACAGGCATTTCTAAGTACATACTGAAAATACATAGGACAACACCTGGAAAGAGATGTTTTTAGGAAAATCAATGGGATAATTGGCCTTTTTCCTCTGAGCAACATGCCTTTCTGTAACCACGCTGTTCCAGGTACCAATCAAAATGCTATTTTTCTTTGGACAAATTGAACTAGCAGTATTATCAGGTTCTAGCCAGTAAATTCTAATAGAAACTATTAGAATGATACACAATAAAGCAATTAAGGCTCTCACTTCTGGCTGTGTAGTTGACCCAACAGAGACAACAAGATCCAGCACAGCTAGCATAGCTCCAGGATGGATGATGACGGCGTCCAAATTTTGCAGAGGTATAGCTCCTTTGTGTAACTTCACATCAGTAGCATTTTTGGAAGGGAATACTGAAGGTGCTGATACTGAATGGTATGCGTGTCTAAAGGGGAGAAGGAACAATAACAGACCCTTAATTCACTTTCAGCAGTAAACTCTTCTCCAAAAACTTTAATTAAGTATTGAATTTCAGGCTGGAGTAATTATATACTTCATCTATTATTACACAATGCCCTTTTAAGATTTCTTTTCCATAGCAATTTGCTCTGTATCATATTTTTACAAGCATCACAGCAATATTTTTTCCAGAAGACCCTTTGCCCTAATCATTATATGTCGGCTAGTCCAGATGAACTATAAACTTGTCTGATAACAAGGATTTCTCTTTCAACAATCTGGACTGAAAATGAAGCTTGCGTATCATTCCCACACTGTGTAATATATACTGAACACAACACATATAACATGAAGAATGACATGTCTTACACACCTCTTTCTACAGGATCTGATGTAATATAAATCATTATATTAGATGATAATATAAATCATTATATTAGATGACACTATTTGCTTATCGAGCTCTATAACATCTAATCTAGTTAGCAACAGTCCCAGGATTTTATGCAAAAAAAAAAAAAAAAGAATCCGTCCTGTCACCTTTTAATTCAGGGTTCAGTAACATGTGGTTCTCGAGTACATTTCTTATGGTCATCAGAAACCCTATAACCAAGATTAGTGAAAACTAAAAAGAATTCCTGCCAAGTTTAGGTGAAAACACAGAAAAACAGAATTGTAGCCCATAAAACCTACTGTATATCTCAATTTTTAACAATAAGATCTCTGCCTAACTCTCCTTTTCTTACATAGATATTGTAACCCTACTGAATTGTAAATATTAAGGTTTGCCCATGCCTATTGTAGCTGGGCTTTTTAAACCAGACAAAGCATCTGTCTACCACTGACCTAATTTGTTTATGTGCTTTTCTTTGGAACTAAAGTAAGTCAATTTTTATTACCATAATTTATCTGAATTAACACACACACTTTCCCCCAAACAATAATACATTGGTTGTGTAAATTATCATTTGTCCATACAGTCATTAGGAGAGGAACCCAACTTGATGGAATCATATTAACCTCAAACTGATTCTGATCTCTACCTGAACACTTTGCATCACCATAACTTTGCAGTACTACTTCCATTTTGCCTCTATCAGCAACATAGTCAGCATATATTTAATATTGGGGAAAATGAGAAATTGCGTTTTGAATCCCAGGATTTGAAAGCAAATAGAAAGCAAAGCCAGATCACAAAGCTTTCATTCTAGTAAAACTATTGTTGATCAAAAAATGACAAAGGCTCAAAGACAATTAGGAAACAAATATCCATAAAAGGCGAAAGATAACTAGAGCCACAGAAAGCAAGACAATTGAGTTAAACTTGTTTTTAACAGCCAATGCTCTGTGGCTGACTGGCAATACATCTCTTGTCCAACAACTAGCATCCTCAAGAGAAGGAGTGTTTTCTAGGGCAAACGACACAGTGACACTGCATTACTCACATCTACATGGTAACTTGGTGGAGCAACTCATTTTCTGCAAGATGAAACTCCCCCTGCTGGACTTTGGACTGGAGGAAGACAGAGGCACCTTATCTCAATGTCCAGATCACTAACAGCCATTTGCTCACCTAAAGCCAAGGGTGAACGGGGAATACTTTCCTTCTGACATAACAGTAACTTGCCAATTACTCACTTGAGTCAGTTACACTGGAATGAGTAGGTGGAGAAAAATCTAGCCCACGGATTATTTCTGTCATGTGGGTGGCAAGTAGCAATCAGAAACAGTAGCCTCCTTTTTCAGCTGTTAGGTTAAAAGCAAGAGCATAAGGGGCATTTTCTGAGTTTCCATCATTTCTGTGGTTGGAACTCTTACCCTGTTTTGTCACATATCTGCTATTTGTGTGGTCCCCTAGAGTTCAGTGCACTGAACGTAGTGCTTAAAAAACCCAGAACTTGTTAGTGGTTGCCAACACATATAGAAATATCAACTACATATTATTAAGGATGATTCTGTAGCCTCAATTTTCAAAGTAATACTATCTCTACTTCTTCAACTCACTTTTTAAATACAACTGGTAATGTCTGGGAACTTTCATTTATTTATTTATTTAAAAAATTCATTAATGATTTATTGAAAAACATTCCACACGAATGAATATTTCTAAATGGAGCTATATATGGCTTGACACAGGGGTTCTCAATTTGTGGGTTGGGACCCCTCAAGGTTTTAAGCAACTTAACATCTTTCTTTCTTTCTTTCTTTCTTTCTCTTTCTTTCTTTCTTTCTCTCTTTCTCTCTTTCTCCCTTTCTCCCTTTCTCCCTCTCTCCCTCCCTCCTGTGCAGAGGAAGTGGGAACACTGTCAAA